CAGTGAGTTAACCGGTGATATAGGCGTAGTACCGCCTTGACAGAAGAAGGCAAGGTCTGATATGGTGATTCTTCCCACAATGCCGATCCAATATGACCAAGTTACCGTCAAACATGTGACAACTATCTAGTATAACTAGGAGATACCTCAAACGGTTCAGGGTCAAAGAGCTTATTATAGTACAGTGGTTTGAGTTACTGATCAGCCAGATAAGCATTATCTCAATTTATCCAGATCTACATGAGGTAGGCACTCATATTTCTCTTCATGGCGATGACCAGGTCATTGGGACTCCATAATAAATTATCTATTCTTTCAGGGGGACATCATAAGTGACTGACCTGCAAAACAGAAAGGCATGCCGAGTTGAATTGCGAAGCACCTGGCAGTCTTTTCAATTAAGCACTTAATGACCATGCTTATCACGAAATGAAGAAGAGACCTAGATATACGACAAGCCCATCAAAAGCATTCACCTACCTGGTCTCATTGTCAAACATTTAGTAGCACCAGAGTATGTACTATGTTCTATTTACCTGCCACAAAGTTATGTTTATTCGATCTTTAATAGGCATATCGTCGAAGTTTCCAGTATCTCGCCGATCAAGTACGGAAGGTATGACATGCATTATTATTATGAGCCAGCTTCAGCCCACCAAGCTGGTAAAGCTGGCAGAACCTTCAAGGACGACGCAACAGTCCCGTCTCATCAGCACGAATGCACGATGGCCCCGCGCTATCGACTCAGCGAATCTCAGAAGCTCGGTATTTGAAGATGCAGCAAGGACATGGAGAGCAAAGAGCATAAGCTGGCTCGAGTTGTTCTTAATCCATCGTAGAAAGGAGCTTGTCCGTTTAGTTGATCGAAAAGCTACTTATGTCCGCAGACAGCTGGACAAGAGCTAAGGAGCGACGTCACCCGAAGCAACTCACGTGATTGGGACAACGCGGCCCCGTGTTCTAAGACCATATTGGGTAAAGCCAGATGGGCGGTGGATCACTGAGAGGAGAAGCCGAGATAACAGATCACAAGTGCTATCACTTGTTACGTACCTCGACCTCTGCTTTTGTTTCACCATGCACTATTGACATTTGATTGTTTTTAAGTGATTATCTCTCTTGAGTATACAGTCTTTTCTCTTTCCTCGCCAATACCACCTGACGAAGAATTCCAATTGTTATCTCGCTGCCTAACACGTCGAGCTACCGCCTCTAGGTAGTCCTTATCTTGGCCTCCCGTGAGGAGTCGCAGCACAACACCTAAGCTCCAAAAGCTGTCTTCACCACAAACGAAAGCTTCAGTAACAAGATCACCTGAGTGCCTGCTTGATTAACTGAACCTTGTCGATGGTAGTCTAGAACGGTGACTCTCCAGACCGTCTTCCAGCGTCTTTCCATCAGAACACCAATCAGACTCCCTGAAAGATTCGAAGAATAAACCAAGATGAGTATGAACGTCTTTCGCCTGTTAGGCGATCTGTCCCACATATCGTCGAAATGCATCTTGATGTGGGCCATTCATCGGAACAAAAGTGCGGAAGGTAAGTACAGACACTCCCGCCCCTCACAATAGGGATGGGGACGGGCAACTGACTCTTCGATTCTGAATGGCAGGTGTCTCGCTACTCACACAGATGCTTTATGCTGCTGTGTTTCTCACGCGCTACCTTGATCTGTTCCGAGGGAGCGGATGGAGAAGCTTCTACCTCGTTTTCTTCAAGTTCTTCTATATATTCTCTTCTTTCTATATCATCTTTTTGATGATGAAGGTCTACCCACGGACGCGTGAAAGAGAGAGGGCATGGAAGATGGCTCTCGGCTCCGTCGTGGTTTCGCTTGTCCTAGCGCCGATTGTGACTCCTATTTTCGACGATAAAGACCTCTTCAAAATGCACTGGTTCACCGAGGTGGGTCTAGCACACTGTGCACACAGAGATCTTGTTGCCCCAGTGCTAATTAGAAGTACGATGCAGACAATGTGGTCCTTCTCCATCATCCTAGAATCCGTATGCGTGCTTCCCCAGCTCCTTCTACTCCGCCAGACTACCGTTCCTACGGTCATTGATTCATACTATCTCCTCGCTCTGGGCTCTTACCGCGCGTTCTACATACTGAACTGGTTTGTGAGAGGGTTTGGCTCCGAGAAACACTGGGATCCGATCGCGATGATCTTTGGTATCCTTCAAACTGCTCTCTACATTGATTTCGCTTGGGTCTACTATTCTCGTCAGCGCGTCAAGCTTCGAAATGGCGGTGTAGTCGATTCGGAAGATTATAGTAAAAGTTGGATAGTTAACAAGGTGTTCAATATCAGACGGCGACGAGAAAGTCTGGACGAGGAGCAGAACCTTACCGGAGAAGGAATGGAAGGGGAGAGGGGAGCCGGTGGTGACAGGCCTAGCAACAACCGCTGGGGTGCTCGCGGCATTTCCATCTCGGCGGACGATACCTTGGACGAGCACACCCGGCGCAAGCCCGGGGATGCGGATAACGAAGGCTTGGAGGGATTTCTGGAGGATGAGGATGACAGTCTGGACGATCAGTCTGATGGGCATAGCCCATTGCATCACGCACCGGTCACGTCCAATCGCGACTAATAATCGCTGCTGATGGCGATACTTATATATAGAAACCCTGCAGCAAGTGGATTGCTCTCCCTTGTTCCAGTGTCTCGTCGGCTTTGGAGTGATCAGCTACTGATTCTGGCAATGTTTTGGGAGTTATTATGTATAATGGCTCAAGGCGCAATCATCGATCAATGCTATTTTTGATAACGGGCAGTTAGCCTTATCTGCTTTTAGGATATTGATGAGATCATGAGAACCATACGGATCTTTTGACTGGATCATCAATTTAAAGTAGTGCGGAGATCCATGGTAAGGTCAGGATCCGCCGAGTCGCCGAACTAGCTTGTGATTTAATCTTTTGGTACAACCTGAAACAATAGCCTGACAGTGTCCAGTGTTTCCATTGCTGCGCCAGGGCATAGCCACTGAAAGAAGGGTCGAGTTGTACTTCTATCCATTCAAKATGCACACAGACGATGCATGAGTCGATACTAGAGAAGGATCCAATGCTTCTCCGGAGACGGAGAACGCCTTGCAAGGTGAAGTATCAATTTCAAACATGTTTGTCCCCATCATGACCCATCATGACGACGGAAAGTGCGTTTGCCCAAAATGGACTATACTAAATCTTGGCACCGCCTGCCGAAATCCCGCGAGATCACGTGTGAATGTCTTGCTATTTCGGCAAAACAATGCAAGAAAATAATTCTGGGAGAAAAGGATGACAAATTCTCCTTGAAATTACCCCACAGACAAAAAGTCCCATTCTGAATTTATGACGGAATGCTAATCTCGACGAGACAGGCTCGGCTGAGTCGACCTTGGTCTCTTTCAGCGGGTCATCCTTTTATTTCTTAAGCAAACAGTTTATGCTCTCTAAGCGCCAGCGCCAGCGCCATCTCCGATATACGGTCGATTGGAAAATGATGACTCAAGCCGCTCAACCGACTGGCAGGAAGCATATCCTCTGGCGCGTATGCGGCATGGTCTTCGTGGGACACGTGGCTCTGAATAGAGGGATGCAGACAACCGGCAAAATAATAATAATGGGAATCTGGGAAGCTGCCACTCACTACTTTTCACGGAAAGCTTACTAGTCATGCAACCAAGACAGTTAGTAATGCGCAATTATGGGAGATTGATTAAGGCTTTGAGTCAGGCTCTGCTTAAAATCTCACCTTCATGGCTCAGGCTTTCGACTAGTCCACTAACTAGTTTAGCTCAGTCAGATCAGGCGTCTAAGACCTTCTCAGAGCCCACTGGACAAGCCAAATCCTCCAGGGGTTTGCAGCTGCAATTACGAACAAGCGCTTAATGGGCCGCTATCCGTGGATCCTTGTCTGGCTCAGGACATGGTCTGTTCCCTGATGGACCTGTCTTTCCTGACATAGTCCAAGTGGGTTTCTAGTAATGATTTCTTGCTCCTTAAGTCATGTTGAGCAGCCAATTGTTCCGTACACTGGCCCCATAGTCGTCTAGAAGCAAGGATGTAGACTCGCTGTTCTGGAACTTTAGCCCTTTCCCTTAATTTCTTTTGATTGCACTCATCCTACGATCCGCTTACTGACAGCATCAAGAACGTCCAATTTCTATACTACTCCACTAGCTAGTCAGTCCTTCGACGTCTTTAGCGCTAGCCCCCTTTACGAACATTTGTCTCCTGAAACTGCTGCAGCGGGCCACTAAGCACCTGATGCCATCCAAATGTCATTCTACAGGTTCCCGCCTCCCCTTCCTGGGTGATCCGATGCATTGGGACTTTGCTGCTGCGGGAGCTAACCTTTCCATCGATCAGGGTGGGCCAAATGCTGATGTCTGCGCCCCGAGAGTTTGGGGGCTGGAATTCTAGCTGTCATGTCATCGCGAGAGAAGATATTACTTTCCTTTGATAACAATTCGGACCCCATCTCTGGGGTGGCCAGGCGCTTAAATGCAGAGCCATCGTCGTGTCTACACCTCTCGTTACGAGCATATTCGTGCGGCACAGTGATAGTCGGCGGTATATCTGATGCTTTCTGGGAGTTCTTTTGGCCCGTTGACGTGGGAGCTACTCGAATCTGGGCCTGCCTTGCAAGGCACTTCGACTACGTCTTGATCATCCCGACTGGCGTATATGAACCTGGATCAGACTTTTGTTGGACGTTCTTCCCGTCTGCAACCCATTTTATGCCTTCAGTTCGTTCCTAGAGAAATAAAATAAGCTGTTGCGCAGAAGTGGCTACTTTGAAGTCGTCGTGGCGGGCCTTTATATTACTTTCAGTCGACCGTCCCTCCTGCTTCTTGCCGCCGACACCTGTTGGTCCTTCAGCCTGTTTCATCAACCGTTTCATCTTTTCTCGCCACACATCAGCTCATTCGCTCTCGTCCTGGTCTAAGCGCGTGCCCAAAGTTTGCTCTATGTATCCTCAAACTCCTTCCGGGTTCGCCGGCCAAATGCCCTATGGCCAGGCCACTCCAGGAAGACAGGGCGATGAATTGGATGAATACTATGAGGCACTACCGCCTCAATGGTCCGGTGTTGAAACGGTAGGCCAATCTTCCGTGACATCTGTCCGGTGTTTCAGCTAGCTGACCAAACATTTGCGCTGCTTAGTCTCCGTATTTAGCAATGAACCATCCAAACTCTACCACAGCAGCTGCATATCCGTCCGCCGCTATCTCAACACCAATCAGTCTCCCAGACAGCTCCTTTGTCCATGCAAGACCGAGCCCGGTTGTCAGTCATCGTTCGCAAGAATATCAGTACAACATATCCGAAACAGTCCCGCACCATGGGCTTGGGATCACTGCACCGTTTCCAAGTAATTTTCCCCGAACGGTAACGGCGGGTCTAGGACACGCTACAGATGAATACGACTTTGGCCATGCCGAAGCTACACCGTCTCCACATCCGCCTCCGGCGAAACGAGTTAGAAGAGGCAGCTCGAAAGCCGCAAGTTCGACTCGTGAAACCCCAGTCACAATACTGCCTCATCCTGAGGGACTCCAGCGACTAGAGCAAGAACGGCGACAAGGCCATATTGATCTTCATCCCCACCACAGGTCTCGCGCTCCCGGCCGGGGCCGGCGCGATCCGCAAGCGGAAGAAGAAGATGCTTTTGTCGAGGGACTGCGAGAACAGAACCTGGCATGGAAAGTCATCCGGGAGCTGTTTCGCGAAAAGTTCAACAAAGATGCATCGGAAGCACGCCTGCAAATGCGGATGCTGCGCCGGCGCAAAGAACGGCTAGCCCGGTGGGATGAGAATGATGTGAGTATGTGTGTCATGACCCTCTCCTTTATTTTGTCGTAATTTATTAATAACCGAGTGCTCCAGATCCCACTTCTCATAAGAGCTCGAGACCATTGGGAACGTGAAAAGTATCCTTTCATTGCTCAAAAGGTGAGATCGTTCCGCCTGTTTTCCATGACATACCCATACACGTTCTGCGAGCTAACATTCTGGTGATGCAGCTGAGGGACCTAGGCGCTAGAAGGACATACACCCCGCAGCAGTGTGAGGCTCAACTTAAAGATATGGAAGCTGAAAGCCGAGAACGCGCCGATGCCTCGTTATCGCAGATGACAGAGCGCTCACGGACTCGAAAACGAGTTAGGGCCAACAGCGATACGGGGCCATATGTTTGACGATTTCTCTATTTTCTCTTTCTGGCTGACGTCTACAATCATCGCCCAGAAGCGCATTGATTTGATCTTCCACAGTGCCGCATTGAGTGACATTTCTGATTAGCAGGGTTCAGCGCTGCGCATAGCATTGCGTTCTCATTGCCTCAGTGGCATCTCTCCTCCTTTGCATATTTTTCCCTTCGCCAATTCTTTCATGGACATATACTTTTTATACAACTCATGTAGAGACATGTCGATACGAAATTGACCATGAGTACGTCTACTGGTCATACGAATACATAAAATTCTGCATATTTCATGCCTTCAAAAATAAATCCCAATATTTAGTCTCGAGGAAGGCCAGAGGTCTCGCGGGCGATGTCACTGTAGTACCCCCAGGCGTGAAAATAGGGCCCGATGGTATTCGTACGCTGACATATGCAAATTCCCAAATCCTGCTTTCCAAGAATCGAATCTAGAACCTGCTGAGAATCATCTAATCCTCTCACAAGCCTAAGTCAGGCCCCATGCATGCATAAAACCATCTGCGGCTGAAAAACCAGGTCCAAAGAGACAGACAGCGCATCCGCTCTAATAATTGCAAGAATTTAGACTACGCCATGGCAGTGGGGGCTATATGTCTGGATTAACTACGCACCAGTCAGCATGCGGCGTAGGCGCTTAACCTGCAGGACGTGCAGCAGACCCGTGCAAAGGAGTGGTGAGCCGGGCTCAAGTTTCAGACATGCGGCTAAAGATGGAGTAAGAGCTAAGGATGTTAATGCGGGCTAGGCTATTTAATCTTCAGCTTACATAGGACATACATCTCCACGGGCACGGACATATACGGACATGGGGACTTATTTCCGCTCTGGGATGTACGTGGGTGGAAGATGATGGTATGGAATCGTCGTCTATGGTCAAAAATATAATCGCTAGTGCAAAGATAGGCGCGTCGAGATTTATTCGCTTCAACGGTATCGTTTTTAACGTGTCGGTCATGTCTAGCCCCCACTTCTGAAGACCAGTATTGCTCAAAGATGATCAGCTAGCTTCAGCGGTTTCTTCGTCCGATTCAAACTCCTCCTCGACTACTGGGAACGTGCACAAAGCGGCAACGCCTCCCAATCCGTCCAGTCTTCTCCCGCTCTCATGGTCGGAGCTGAGTACACGCACTTCGCCCCCCTCGTCGTCCCTAACTCGGTCAACAAGGGACACCCATCGTTTGCGCTCTGCCACGTCCTGTGACCGGAACAATCGGTTTGAGATGATGAGGACGCCGCCCCCGCGGCCCACGGCCCCTTGTTCGACTGCCGACTCGACCTCGCGAGGTCCATAGACGGCCTTGTTAGACTCCTTGCGGAGGTGTCCAAGAAAGTCGTCCATCAGTTTGGTTTCGCGGGCATATTTGGTATCCGCAAGGATGGTCTTCACTGCAGGTGATTGCAGAACCTCAGCGAGAGAATGCAGATAGCCTGAGGCTGAGTGGACAACGACAATACTCGGCAATAGTCGTTTGAGGGCAGGTGTAGTCGTCGAGGCAACAGACTGTATGTATTTCTGAAATCCGGCAGCGACAAAACCAGGCGACGCGAGAAGAACGGGCTTGACGGGCTCGTTACTGGTGAGAGACGTAGCGCTGGTGTTGAACTCCATCTGCCGGAGAAGAGTGTCCAGTGTGACCTGGTAGAATTTTGACATTCCCTGCTTCGCGTAAGTAACTATATCTATACAAGTGCGTTGGCACACGGGTGGAGTACCTTATCATGATCCCCGCCTCCGCCGCCTTGTCGTTTTCGCGGAACTGACATCTCGACCTTCTGCTTCAAGATGGTTTGAAATTGCCCAATAAAGCAAATGTGGGCCAGTCCTTCCTGCATAACAACAGCGACCGCTTCCGCCCTCCGTTTGCCGCTCTCGTCAACGGCATCTTGGAGCATCTGTACAGCAATGCTGTCCCACCCTACTCCCTCCCCATTCGCACCGATCTCTTTTTCCAGGGTGAAATTGCGATTCAGCTCCAGATCCAATGTATGATGTTGTCCGACTTTAGTGTGCGGTGTCTCGTTCACGATTGTTCCTCCGACATGCAGTTGTGAGCTCTGAGGGTCGAAATCCAAGCTTTTCACACGGATTTCCAGCGTTAAGTGGACTCGGGATGAAGTTGTTGTACCGGTGTCGTGTGTCGTTGTGACGCGACGGATTGCGCTTGCGCGAAGGAGGTCACCGGGTCTGATCAGGTTGTAGGCGTGCCACTTAATGCAGGAGCCGTCAGAGCAGGTAAGTATCCGATGGGGATCGGGTCGCATACCATATCCTCCGGCTCTTCAGGACACAGAGTGACTGTGCCTGAGCCACCGTGCTCTATCTTGTTCTTTATTAGACGCATTTGACCGGTAGGTGAATAGATGTGGGATGTTGAGAAAATAGATAGCCAATCGTATGTATATCCAAGATATGAGTGTTATAAGTTGTTGCGATAAAAGTATACTTTCCCAAGGAGATGCTTAGCACTCAATCAAGCCAATAGTGACAGAGACACTGTCGCCTTCGCAAATCATGAAGAAACCGACGTAAAGTAGAGAGATGATTCAACTTCAGGCGCCAAGGCAGCTTCAGGAGATGCGGGACAGTTCCTGGATAGGATTAGCGCTGTTACCTATCGATAAGAAAGATGGAACCCTAAGCCCTGAGACACGTCAGTTGCGTAGATAGATGAGTGATGTCATTCATGGTATGTGGTAGTATGTCGATGATAGCCTGCTTCGAGGCCAAAGTAGTGCTGTCCAGGAGGACGCTGGTTTTCTCCAACAAGCTCTCTCAGTTTTTCTTGATTTTGAACCAAGCAAATCAATGCCGTTATCCTTTCCTGGACCGGACCCCGACAGAACCTACCCCACGTTAGGTACACCCCGCCGCAAGACTAACACCCATCAGGAAGCTCGTAATGGCATTTTGACTTTCGGAGCGGGAAACGTGAGCGACTATCGGTCTCCAAGGCTCCAAATCGTCATGGACTCCAATGGATGACTGGCAATATAAATAATGATCCAAGTTCGCGCAGCTACGTGTGTTTTTCTCAGCCATCCGTTCTATTTCTCGACCGATTGTTCTTGCCACCATACTACTCCATAGTAACTGCAACAATGGCCCCCGTATCTCTCCAGTCCACCTACAAAATGGTCTCGGGATATGAAATCCCGGTTGTTGGGTTCGGTGTGAGTAATAAGTCCCAGTGGCATAGTTTCCACTATGAACCAAGCCGCTGACACAAGATCATAAGGTTTATCAAACGTGTGTTCAAATTTTGTAGCAAGTCATCATTCAAGGATTGAACGCTATACCTAACCTGTAAATGGCAATGCAGGCCACCCGAGATCACCGAGAAGGTCACGCTCAAGGCACTGGAAACTGGATACCGCCATGTAGGTGCCATGAAAACTGTTGAAGCACCAGGCAAATTGAGGCTAATCGGCCGTGCTCCCCTAGATTGACAGTGCAAAAGCCTATGCGAATGAGAAAGAATGTGCGGAGGCTTTGAAGAAGTCTGGAATTGGCCGTTCCAAGATTTTTTTCACCACAAAGGTTCCCCGGTCTTGCATGTCCTATGAAAAGGCCAAGGAAGCCATTGAGCAAAGTATCGCTGCTACCGATCTTGGTTACATCGATTTGTAAGCGAATAACCCTAATCTTCAACGAGCGAGCGACGCCCCTGGCTAACTAAGGGGCAGAGTCCTGCTGCACGCGCCCTACGGTGGGAAGGAGGGTCGCCTTGGTGCCTGGCGCGCCCTCGTGGAGGCTCAGAAGGCAGGCCACATTCGTTCCATTGGCGTCTCCAACTATGGCATTCACCATCTGGAGGAGTTGGAGGAGTACATTAACAGCGGTGTTGGAGGCCAGATTTCCGTTGGACAGTACGAGATTCATCCCTGGTGTGCGAGAGAGGACATTGCTGCCTGGCTGAAGAAGCGCAACGTTGTTGTTGAAGCCTATTCTCCCCTTGTTCAAGCTCAGCGCATGGACGAGCCTGTATTGCAGAACTTGGCCAAGAAGCACAACAAGACACCAGCTCAGATCCTGATCCGGTGGAGTCTGCAAAAGGTACTTTCTTTGTTTCTATTATCGATTGAGTCTGTGGCTAATGCCGTCTTGCAGGGCTATGTTCCTCTTCCGAAGTCTGTGACCGATTCCCGTATCGTTGAGAACATGCAGGTGTTTGACTTCGAATTGTCTGGCGAGGACATGGAGAGTCTGAACACCGGCATTTATGCCCCGGTTTGCTGGGATCCTGTTAAAGATGTTCCACTGTAGAGCGATTTTTTAAATTCACTGAAAATAATAGCAGGAAGACGACGGCAGCCGGCGAAAAATATGTACATGTCTACTTCTCTCATATATATAAGAAGCAACACAGTGCCAGGTAAATGCAGGATTTTGGTAGGCAACAATGATCAAATCTCAAAAAAAAGTTGTATCACTAGATGAATTGAGCATTTTGTAAACTTAAGCGGTGGTAACTGCCGCAGGAAATGAGAAACGCCTGTTGATCTGGCCGGGACAACATATCGCCGCCAGCCAAGGATGTCAACAATAGCTCTCTCCGCGTTATATCAGAATAATCTACGTACCCCAGAGGTATTGCCATCAACAATAACGGAGAGAAGCCTGCAAGTTACGATCTTCAAATGCACCCCTGCATCTTGATATAACTGAACCTACCTGTCATCCCTCTACCATGCCCGATCAGCCGCGGCGCATTATTCTGGAAAAATCCAAGACAGTGCGCCGCCGGTATCAGCGCAGCAACAAACGATTCCAATTTACAGCTTCACAGATCGAACGCATCGAACGCGAAGAGGAACGCGAAGCACGAGCTAAAAAGCTTAGAGAAAAGGAGAAGAAACGCCAAGCCAATAAGAAGAAAAAAGCCGAAAAGGAAGCCAAAGAACGAGAAGCACGAAGACGACTCGGTCTCGCTGATCCTCATGCTCTCCCCCTTCCTTCCAGTCAGCCATTGCTTTCCAAATTTCTCAACAAGCCCGCAGCGAAACCGGATACAGAGAGCGAGACTTGTGAGGAGACAGAGCTAGACAGCCACAGCCAGGGGAGTATCGCAACCGAAATTGACGAGAGCCTGCTTTCGGATTTAGATGTCGCTGCCTTCGACGATCAGACGGCTGCAGGGGTATCAGAGCCAGATAATCATACAGCAAGCAATGATCAGAAGGGTCATGTTGGTCCGTCTCAGGACGATGACGACGAGTTCTCCGAATGCTCGATTTTCTACGACGAAGACATCATCAAAGAAGTGGAAACAATTGCTACTGCACAAGATACGGCAGGCAGGCTGGGGGAAATAGATCAGGCGACGAAAGAGCCATGCAAACCTGCGTTAACAATAGGAGAATCATTCCAAGATGACACGGCGATACTCCTTGAACAGTTCGGCCATCAGTTCGGCAGCGATGAGGAATTCGAACAGGAATTGATTCGACTCGATACTGTATCCGTTGGAAACCCATCTTGAGTTGGCTATACGAATATTGGATATTCAATATGCGATTGGGAACATTGTCTACTTTGGTGGATTCAATGTACAAACCGGTCGCACAAGTCCATCCTTGAGGGGCAGACTGCATTGGAGCCATTGTTGACAATCACTGACAATAATAATCCCGCAGACTCGCGCAGCTCAAGAATGACAGCCGTTTGATCCGACCCGACGGCCAGACCCGCACTGATCGGATCGTGATGCCCCTCTTGTCGGGTCGGGTGGTGATAAGCTGGGCGGCGGCTCAACCCGCATTCCGACGGAATCAATTATTCTGAACGATAATTATGAAGGCAGCTTTGCACGAACAGAGATTATGTGGTAACAATAGTGATGGCCACTTGCACAGCCGCCTCGTTGTGCTGAAGACACTACCTCTCGAGAGGTATATCAGAGCGCATTATCGATAAGATAGGAGAACGAAGCCGAAGAAGTATGAAGATAACAGTGGGTTGACGTCAATGCGGAATAAAACATAGTGTATCGGCTCGTTTTGTTTGAGAGCTTCTTTCTTGGAGATACCTCATTGCTATCTATTTCTTCGCATTCAGTACATTCTAACGATATTGCAAACAGCTCCTCGTCTTTCCTCACCTTTTGTACTGGCGTTGCTGCTGCGAGATATACCCACCGTCTACTTCCAGTCTCAACGGATCGAAAAGATGCCGTGCCTCGACGTATGTGGGCACTCACTCCACTATGCTGATTCCCATCCCAATGGAGCTCCCAAAGACGGTGCGACCATTGTCTTCATTCACGGCCTTGGCTCCTCCCAAAATTACTACTTTCCTATTCTCCACCATCTGACTCCTAAGCACCGCTGCATCACCCTCGACACCTATGGTTCTGCCCGCTCCCCGTACACCGGCCAGCTCATTACCATTGCTACCATTGCTTCGGATGTCATTGCGGTACTGGATGCGCTAAACATCCCCAAGGCCGCTGTAGTCGGCCACTCGATGGGCGGACTGGTTGTGACGCTCTTGGGCGCACAGTGCAGCGATCGCATCACGGCTGTAGTAGCCGTGGGTCCCACCCATCCCTCGGAGACCCTAGCATCCACGATGCGCCAGAGGAGCGACACCGTGCTCGAGGGTACGTTGCTTCCATAGACCTAAATTCACTGTCAAAATGCACAACGTGTGAGCTAACCCAAAGTAGCCGGAATGGAAGCAATGGCCAACACCGTCCCCAACGCCGCTACAGGCTCGCAAGCCTCCCCGCTCGCCAAAGCGTTCATTCGCGAGCTCCTTTTAGGCCAGAACCCGAAGGGCTACGCCACGCTATGCCAGGCTATTGCCAAGGCCCCCGCGATCGACTACTCGTGCATCACTGTGCCGTTTCTGCTCATTGCAGGTGAAGAGGATAAGTCTGCGTCGTTGGAAGGATGCAAATATATCTTTGACCGGGTGTCCAGTGAGACGAAGAAGATGGAGGTATTGCCCAAAGTCGGTCATTGGCACTGCATCGAGGCCCCTGATCTGGTGGGAGGGATGATTGCGGGGTTCCTTGAGAGATTGTGATGTGCTGTAGAGTTATAGCATCTTGGGAGATATTGAACGGATTGTCCTTGAGTTTAGACCTGAAATTAGTGCTTTAGTGCCCATGGTAACGCAGCTGTATCAATGCATTATCAAGCTAGAAAGCAATACAGGCGAGATGAGCGCAATTTCGGCAATACCAGCCAAAACGAGAATCCATCATCGCATTACGGTATCACGGAAGAACACAAATATATATACACAAAGCCCAGCTATTGCCAGACTCCGGTCCATTCCACTGCCCTACGCCCGGTCCGCCACCAGCTTGACATCGTATTCAAGCTCAAGTCCAGCTTGAGGGTCATCCTTGCGCGGCACAAAGTCCACGATCAGCGAGTCCTTGACGGCAAACACCGAGTCGTTCGTCAGGTACTTGTCCTGGCGGTCGAAGATCTGCGTGGTGAGTGGCTTGTAGCCTTCCTGCGTAGCCTGCAGTGCAGTTAGCCCAAGCTGGCTCTTTACTTGGAAGAAGCGAATACTCACGATGATGTGGATATGGGCGGGACGGAAGGGGTGTCGGTCCATGAGCTCGAGTAACTTCCCTGCGGGACCTGTACGCCACTCAAGATTAGCGTCTGCAAAGCCTCTACAGCGATAGCGATAGCAATAATGATGGGATCAAATACGTACCATCATTCGGCACAGGATACGGCGTCGGACGTAGGCAGTAAAAGTAGTACCGCCCGTCGGCATCCGTCTTGAACTTCCCGCGCAGGTTGAACTCCTCCTGGTTCGGATCCTGCTGCTCATACAGCCCGTTCGTCGACGCCTGCCACACTTCCACCGTCGCGCCAACGAGCGGCTTCTTGGTCTGGAAATCGATTACGCGCCCGTGCATGAACACCATCTCGCCGTCCGGCACGTCCTTGACGATATTGTCGCCGTTGTTGCGGTAGGGGGTGTCGGCGCGGAAGAAGGGGCCGAGGATGGCGGTTGCGGTGGGTGCGTCGGCGGCCTCTTCAGCGAGCTTGAAGGTGATTTCGTCAACGAGCCTGTGTTCACACAGCAAAGCGATACGGTTAGTACAGGTGCCGGGGACTGGGAAATAGGGATATGTGGCACGTACGACTCAAGCCCGATCACGTCGCAGACAAGCTGGCCTTCGTTGCGCTTGTCGTCGCTCATCTGTCCGGCCCAGTTGAGCAGCTTGACGCCGGCCATCCATTCGTCGACGGTGAGTTCGTTCTCGCGCGCGAAGTCATGCACATGGCGGATCAGGCTGGCCATGACCTTCCGGAAGCGCGGGTTGGTCTTGGGACCCATCGCGTTGATGACATTGTCCGTAAAGTTGGGGTCAAACCGATTAGTAGCCATGACTGGAGGAGGCCTCAGGGATCGTATCCGGTAGAGAGGTTGGGTATATACTGTATCAGAGATGGAAGAGAGGACGTGGATGAGAATCAATAACAGTCCACAGAAAAAACAGTCGCAAGGACTATCATCCAGCTTATATTCCACAAGATCTAAATCAACAGAGTATGATTGGAAATACTCGCTTTCCGGACGGCAATGTGTGCCCCAGATCCCAAGATGACCCCGTAATTGATGATAGTTCGTCAACTGCTATCATTGAGTGTCGGCTCACCAACATGATTGGGCAGTACAATGATTGGCCATTCAGGATTGACAAACATTGCAATCGGAAGCAGACCAAGCCATCAATCTAACCGCTCTGTGTTCCGCCGTGTCATTTGCAGTGCAGAACCATATGACACTTTTTCGGAAAGGGGAGTAGAGGACTACTATGGTGACGATCCGATTTCCCCGCAATCCGTCGGATGACGGATAGATGCGCTTATGTAAGGCCCCAGCATTGTCCCCGCACACGTCAGCCGATTTGGCTTATCATTATGCATCAATATTAGAGCCGAGAGAGTACTGCGTACAGCTTCAGAGCTAGGTGTAATTTAAGCATCTGCGCTCAGATATAAATCAGTAAGACTTGTTCACCACATGATCGTGGAGATCATCCATTTCTTCTACCCCGTCTTCTCCCATCCGATCCTGCTCGTGGGCCCTTGGGATTGCCTTTCTGAAGCAACTCCGACGGCAATTCCTGGATAGTTTGCCCATGTTCCCAAATCTTCCCCAGCCCACATTTCCTTTCCACGACAACATCAAAGAATTCAACGGGAATAATCTTCTGCGACTTGCCATCTCCAGTCTCCTGATTCCCCGCTATATCCACGCCCTCACTCAGGATAACCCCATTCTCACTGCGCCAGAACGGACACCCCGCAGCCAGTGCCTTCTTGATGTCAATGTAGATCAGAATCTGCGCATCTCGCCTCATCCCGGAGATCACACGCCCATCGTTCAGACCCGAGGACCCCGTGGCTGAGTGCGCCGTCCCGTCTGCATGCGTAGGTAGCACGGATTCCAGGGAAGGCCCCGTTGCAAAATGAACCTGGTTCCGCCCCATGCACCGAAGCCCGCCGGACTGGAGAATGGCCGGCCAGACGGCATGGTATGTCCCATGCACAACAGTGTCCGGTATCCTCGACTCGTCTTCCAATGTCAGTCTCTCCAGGAACGCGGCCGCTTCCACGCTCTTAATGCTGTGTCCCTGCGTCGCTCGTATCAGGAAATGAGAAGGATCTGTATCGTCCACGGTGAGTGCAGTCGCCGTTGCGTTCTCTTGCCCCGCGCTGGTGGTCGGAACTTGCGACGTAGGCATGGAGCTCGGTTCTGTCTCGCAGGCGGGGGTTTCCCCTTCGCGTACCCCGGACGTTGTCGTGTCGCTTATCGCTTTCGCCGAAGGGATGTGTAACAGCGCAAACCGCTTTTTGTCGGACGAAGCGACCGCGTGAATGATTTCAGGAAGGGTAACCTTAAGAGACTTGGTTTTCTTCCATGCCAGCTGTGCAAGATATGTGTATCAGTCATATACCCTATTGAATGGTTCCGTCTGTCGTGCATACCACGTCCGCCACGTTGGCATACCCTTGAGAATCCATTTTCAGCCCTTCTTTTTCTGCTGCATGACGCAAGAGCAGACTTAACGCTTTGGAAATAGTCACTTCACGACTCTGGTTGCCTCCTCTGCCCCTGCGTTGATTTTGCGACATTGTGACGGACTCGGCAAGCGGAGAGGAGGGGTATGTCGTCAATGAACGGAGGTTCTGGGTTCGGCGTAGAAGAATGGCGATGAAACGGATTTGTCGGTTAATTGTGCTGGCTTTTGTACTGTATCTGAATCCCGCAGCGTCAGTAACTGACTCGATAGAAGACTCATCCGGAGGCTGAGCTCACGCGATGACTCAAGTGGTTCCAGCGTGACTGGGCAACGGGGCTCTCGTACGGTGAGATTAGGAAAAGCTATGAAAACAGAGCCCACAAGAGCGCCTCAAGCTGTAGAGAACATCTGCCACCAGCATCAGCGAGAACAGTAATTTGGTTCGATTTGGACATGCAATGATGATACAAGTTTGACTATCTCAGCTGTGCAATAGACTAAACGGAGAAATTTTGTTTGACATCATCTGGCGGGCAATAATATTCCCCAACTGACCCGCCGGACTAGGAAGAAAGAGCTAAGGTACAATAGTCTACTGAGTCTATTCCGTCCGATTAGGTATTTCGTGAATCGTAGACTTGGCCTGTTATTGATTCTGAGCTTATGATAAATAATTTGTGAGGAAAGAGTACGTATAGTGGACAATGTAATGTCGATTAGCGAAAATGCCAAATAACCATGCCTCCATAAATGGGTATCGAAAGTAACAGAAAACTATACCACCATCCCTCATGAACTTCTAAAACCATCCTCATTGCAAGCCAGATATAGAAAACGAATCCCTCAGCCTATAGGTATAGGTATAGGTCACGCTCACCGATCACAAATGCAGCTGCATTCTGCAACGGGGCAAACATTATGCTTTGCAAACCATTCTCTGGCGTGATGTGCATGGAAACCATGATTGCAATTGATACAGAAGACGATAAATCTGCGCATGACGTCGGCCTCTGTGGGTTTACGCTGCTCCTGACCAGCATCGGCAGCGATACAGGCCCTAGACATTGGATCTGGGGAGCCCATCCAGAGCGTGCAAACTCCACAGCGAGGCATCGGCCGTCCACACCTAGCGCAGACCATTCCTGACATAACAGCTGTACCCAAGGGATTACCAGCGGTCGAATGTACCACTTCCCCTGTAGCCGAAGGAGAAATTTGGGAAGATGCATCGTGTTGGGTGAGTGGTCGAGTGCAGTAGTTACAAGTCAAGCTGACTTGTTGTCGGGGCGGCTCGATGAGTCTGCGCCCGTCCCAAGTGACGGCAAACTTGCGCGAGCCGACGTCGAATCGCGCTCTCTCTAATTGGAGTTTCCATGAGTTCATCTGCCAGCGATAGGTTTCACGCCATGCTTCATACCGAGCCCTACCCCAACCACTCCTGATGAAGCGTGGGACTGTGTGGCTCATGGCTAGAACAGGAGTCTGGATATCATTGAATTTGTTGATATAAGATTGGAAAAGGTCCAGGGCAGAGTGGCCAAGCCCCGTGAGAACTATACCTTCAATGTCGCCTTGCCGGATGACTTCAGCAATAGTTTCCTTCAAGTATCCGGAGAGTTCCGTGTCAGGGAGCCAACGTAGAGCTACTTCGACGCGGTACCTCAAGGGAAGCGTAGACTCGTGAATAACGGACTTCCAATCTCCTTTACTCACGAGCGCCAATATAGCTCGTGCATAGGGGTCTGTGAGTTCCTTGGCGATCTCCGCGCACGTCTCTTCCCAATCTGAGTCGGTATCGCCTTTGGCCGCACCTGCGATTGCCATGGCAAGCAGCTTATGCGCCTGGGTGGGCGTGTGACTGCGCAACGCCTGATACGCCAGCTTAGCCTCGTCCTGGAAGACGGCCAATGCAGCTGCTTTAGTATGCTGATTGTCTGCAGAAAGCCTTTTGACAAGCTCCTCCAATTCGCGATGAGATTGTGCCGCACCACAGAGACGCAAACAAAGTCGTCGATGTTCCGGACGAGCTGTCTGACACCCTTTGGATTCGGGCAAACTTAATTGCTCCCGCACAATCTCGATAATACTTTCGCTGATCGATGGAGACTCGTCCCCACTTGAACCGATGTGCCGGCTGTCATAACTTTGACCTGGAAGAGATTAGCAGACCGCATAATCAGCAAAGACGGAAATAAGCTACCTAGGTCATTGTTCCAGATATCGTACACCCCCAGGTAATTGAAATCCAAGCCATTTATGATCATTGACAGATCAGACGAGTCTGAACGTGCGCCTATACCGCCTGTCAGAGAATCCATACAGATGTTATCGTAAACACTACTCACGTTCTACCCAATCCCAGAGCCACTGAAGTTGAGGGTCATCGGCTAAAATTCGCTTGTTGCGCGTTTCGTCGAATAAATAGCCCTCCTTGCACCGTAGTCTGTTTACGGTCAATGATGCCAAGGCTTTCTCTGCAGTGAGAGGTTGACCCAGAGTACCCAGTGATAAATTCCTTTCTCGCGATTCGCGACTGGAGAGAGGATCTTTGACGTGGGCGCCCGATCGCGCAGCTCGGCCTTCTTGCGGCAGCTTCCTCTCTTCTAGAGCTGAGAGATTCGCCTCGCGAATGTTCTCAATTACTTGTGAGATCTGCGTCTGATCCCCGAATGCGGGCCGTAACTCAGTGAAATCGAGATGATTCTCAGAGCTACCGCGGATCAGAACACCCTGAGAGGATAGCCGCACAGGCGGAGACGGAGGCTGTACCGTAACCAGGCCGACTTGACCATTTCCAGCTAACGTTATAGCGGTGGGCTCGCTGGAAGTACTCAGGTTCAGAAAGTCAAACGCCACAACTCTATCTGACTCCTTGCAGCCTCGGGTGGGATGATCGAATGGGCTGAGGACATCGCGGATCGATTTCGTATAGATTTGTTCTGGATAGTCATGGAAGGACCCTTGCCCGAGGGTCTCCTCCATGGACATGCGATACTCTTCTGACAAGTACTCTTTGACGACGTCAAAAGTTTTGAAGCAGCCAGTGTTCGAAAGCGCACCCAGACAGCCTCTTTTTGTCCTCGAGAATCGCAGACTCCAGAGAGAAGTTCTGGGACCGAAGACATTCTTGAATTCGAGCGCTGGGCCCGGATGTCCGGACTCCAGCATATTCGCACCCCCAGTGACATTAAATCGGGAGCTGGCCCGTCGGTCCCAGATGCAGATGGTAGGGTCGTTCGTCGGATAACAGGATGCGATATAGTTCTCATCAAGCGAGTCGATCGCGAGATTGTGCACGCATCGCGTGGGAAATTGGAGAGACGGATTGCCAGGACCTTCTGTAGGGAATTAGTTGTACATCCGAACCGAAAAGAAAGAAGGTAACATGGTACAGCGCTTCTGCAAAGATGGACAAGACACTTACCTCGAAGATCATATATTCTCACGTATTGGCCCTTCACCCCGGTGACAAGCACGTCGGGCTGGTCTTTAAAGAATTTGACACTCGTGATCGGCTCCGAACTAGCCAATTTTCTGAGAGGCTCGACATATCCCTTGGAAACTTTGTTGATCATACGCTGATTGACATCCCAAATATTCAAACAAAAGTCGTTGCGAACCCGGTCCAGCCCAGCTGCCAGCAGGCCGTGTCTACTGAACGAGACAGCATTACAGTACCGCTGATGGCGAATGGGGAATGAAATCGACTCCGCATTCTCGCTGCTCAAGCGCAAGACAGTCGCGTCACCAGAGGATTGGCCCACAGCAACCAAGGACTCGTCCACTGGAGACCAATCGAAGGCGCGAAAGGCGGGAACCTTGGTGTGCGTCGACAGCACATCGTATTCCAGATTCTTGCCGTCGAATGCAGTTGCTTTGCAGAGTCGGAAGGTTTTCCCTGTCACATCTACGGAGAGAAAGCGCTGCTCCGCTGTGGTAGAGGACGGGGCCCAGCGAATGGCGGTCTCCATTATTTCCCTGCGGTTTGTCTGGACTGTCGAGGGAAGGATAAATCAACTGCAAAGTAGGTACCTTAGTCAAGCAACCTGGCCCATTCTAAGAAACAACGCCCAGCTCGCAAGCTAAGCTGACTCGAATCGAGAGACGGGACGCATAGTAGCAGTTAGAACGCTTTAAAAGTCAAGGTTGACGATACAAGTGCTCAATCCCAGTGATTTCCAACTCGCATTGGAATAATCAACAGGGTAATTTCCTCCCGTGCTCTCTTCAATCGCTAAGCGCGTCATTACTACCGGCCCCGCTCTGATTGGTCGCAGCTGTTATCCTGGGGAACTCCTCGGGCCGACTGCTGATCCGCTTATTTTTTTTATCGCTTTGGGATTTTTATTTTCTTGTGTCGGCCTTTATCTTACCTGTGATCAGCAGCGAACTACTGAACGGCATTGCAACCGTTTTTCAGTGACAAGATGCCCAGAGAATTCTCAAGGGAGAAGCGATCGCCTTCTGATTCCACGGCGACCAGTAAACGAAAGTACCGCGAAGGCTCGGAAGACTCTCAACCAGCAAAGAAGAAGAAGATCCACCCTCCCAAACATGAACATAACCACCCCTCCGTGAACGAGTTGAAGAAGCGCATCCGAGATGTCAAGCGTCTGCTCAACCGGGTCGACCTGCCAGCCGATGCGCGCATTGTCCAGGAGCGTGCGCTCGCAGGATACGAGAAGGATCTTGAGGACGAGTTGGCGAGACGCCATCGGTCCCAGATGATCAAGAAGTATCATTTTGTTCGATTCCTCGGTACGAGAATCTCACTACAATTTGGTTTTGGCGAATAATTTTAGAGCTAATATGGCCGATCGCAGACCGAAAAGCCGCCTCAAAAGACCTCAAGCGTCTCCTCCGTCGCGAACAGGAAATCTCCAATTCCGATCTCGACCCAGCAGCCAAGAAAGAGAAACTAGCTGCTCTCGCAGGGAAGATACACGCCGCGCATGTGAATCACAATTACACCATCTACTACCCGCTTACGCAGAAATACGTCGCGCTCTACGCAGAGCAGAAGAAGAAAAAGAAGGAGTCCACTGCACAATCGGAGAAGCCGAATGAGTCTGGCGCGGAAGTTGTCAGCAAACTCATATATGACACGACGGGTGAGAGACCACCCATGTGGCGTGTAGTCGAGAAGTGCATGGAAGACGGGACGTTGGATCTTCTCCGTGAAGGGAAATTGGACGACGGTGAAGGCGAGAAGAGTTCACAAGCGTCCGAGCAGAAGAAGTCGAAGAAAAGCACGGATGAGGATCAACATGCACGCAACAAGTCCAGTAAGGATAAGGTCTCCGATAAGGCTAGCGGAAAGTCGAGAAAATTGGAGGGCAAGCAAGACAGGAAACCCAAACGGTCCGCGGCAATGGAGAGCGCATACCGGAGTGCTAATGAGCACAATGATGATAATAATGAGAGCGACGGTGGTTTCTTCGAGGAGTGATTCATCAATTCGCATTGCATCTGCGGCCCGTTCATTGAGCGGTCTGTTTTCAAGTCGGTTAGCGTCTGTATTCGGCTCTTCTATCCATGCTGTCAGGAAAGCAATCACGAGGTTGTCACTATCCTGTATATCTTCCTCAGTTGGGGCAGAAAATTTTGTGTAATGCTTCTTGACATTGTTTTGCTCGCTCTAAGTCACTGGAGATGCTTTCGAGGAGAGACCTCTTCCTGCACCAGCCGATAGTGATTTTGAGTCATATCACACTTGTATGAAGACTCGACCGAACAAACTCCATTTTCACCATTTCCTCTCTAAGTAACTGCAAGACATAGACATAGATACTGCTCAAATATACACCATCAACTCCGAACCATTGTACCGGGTCAAACAAGACAAAAAAGTAATTGCGAAGGAAAGGTACCAATCAAATAGACTGAGGCACTGCCCAGACTTTCAGGCTCAGCTTGAGAAAATCACTCGAGTGCATTCTGACACACATCGGTTCGTTGAACAGGTCACTTCGTGCCTCATAGAAGCAGCCGATACGTATTGAGACACGGCGGCAGCCCTCCAGCATGACCAGCATTGAGACTGCCTGTGTCCTGGTTCCTCCTACCCCTGAGGAGGGGGTAGTATGTGTTGAAGTTCCTAGAATTTCAAGTATTCACCCAGTGAACGAATGGAATGAAAAGAGCCTGCTCATCCCATGTAACCACAAAACGCCCGCGAATGCAGTAGAATCGAAAGAGATGCTGATGTAGCAAGGCACTTCGAATCGCTGGATGCCTTTCACATGACAGTGCAACCTCCGCTCTGCGCTCTTCTGCGTCTTCCTCCAAGAGCCGAAACACCACCAATGCCATATGCATCTTCATCATCGTCGGCGTTGTAGAGTCGCTCGGCCTCGCGAGCTCGGCGCCGTCTGCGTCGCGCACCGGCTCCACCAACACCGGCTTCTTCTGTCGCCATCATATAATCGGCCCATTTGCGGTCTAGCCTACTCGCGGCAGCGAGGTCCCCGCGTAAGACTCGCTTGTTATGTTCATCGACGGTCATTTGCCAGCCATAGAAGCATTTGAGATGGATGATCGCGTTGGGAAACACCGGGGGCGGCGGTGGCGGAGTAATTGAGGAAGTACTCATAATCGCTGCTGTTGGTGAATCGTCTTCATCAAGCTTGTGTGGCACCACCGTGACCGCCGAACTAGGTTTGCGAGAGCGTGGTATGTATGCGTTGCTCGAAAGGACCTCCTTCACCCCTGCCCAAGTGACATTGGCGCAATCAAAGACTACCAGGCGCAAGCCAATCCTGGGAAGATTTTCAGAGTAGCCTCGCTTACGGACGCGAAAACTGGCCTCCATCAAAGTGAGATCAGAAATTCGAGTATTATCCATTTCCACAGACCGTATGTTGGGGCAGCTCTTCATCACCTGAAGCATTCCAACGTCACCTAGGCTCTCGCAATAGCTGATATTGAGGTGTTCAAGACGTTCGGCACACGGACACTTGGCAAGTTCAACTAGCGTGTTGTTGGTGAGCTGCTCCAGGTCTTCAAGTTCAAGGTGAGTCAACAAAGGGGTCGTGCGGATGACATCGATGACGGAATCGTCGCTCAACTGCGGGCATTGAGATAGCTGCAGGCCCTCGAGCTCGGGAACATTGTGGGCTAGACTTCTGACTCCGACATCTGTCAAATCTGGGCACTGGTGCACGTCCAGATGTTTGAGACGCCGGGGTGGGACGATTGGCCGGTCGGTAAGCACATCAATTTCCGGGTCAATACCATGCATGAGAGCTTTGAGGCTGTCATCCGTCAGATCGGTACGGCTTATGATCAACCTCTCCAAGGTGTTCCTCTTGAACAATTCAAGGGTAAATTCCTCATCGTGGAAACCACTGATTTCACTAGCCCGCAAATCCTTCAATTTCGGGCAAGCCTGGACAACTTTTCTCAAGCCGGTGGTGTTAACTCCAGTGCACCACGAGACATTAAGAATCTCAAGATGCGGACATTTCTGAGCGATAATCTTCATGGCGGAGTTGGTCACAGTTGATAATCCAGAGACATTGATATATTCAAGGCGAGGGTTTCGTAGCAGAAAACAGTGCATGGAAGTCTTGTCGATGCGGCATCCTTCAAGGGAGAAGTTGACAACGTTCCGACAAAGATCCGTGATACGCTCGCCCTCAGTAGCCCACTTCTCTCGAAGTTGAATGCAGCCTCGGAGATTCAGATCTCGAACGAAAGGACCACCAGAGGTCATAAGTTTGACGAGACTATTGCTGGGAATTTCGCGGTAGTAGTCTGCGGCATCGACACACGTCCACAGCTGGCCATCATAACACATCTTGTGCCAGGCTCGCGAGACAGCAGAACAACGTACGATTTCCTTTGGGGTCAGATAGCCGAAGATATTCATTTTGATCTCGTCGGGCATGCGGCCCCAAAAGTCGAAAACGACCTTTGGCTTAGACGTAGGCTGCTCCGCAACCACAATCTCTTCTACTGGTGCAAATTCCAGTGGTGACCCACGGGATACCGGTCTCAACTCGGTCGGCAAGGGAATCGTCTTCAGATTGGTGCCACTCGGAGAATCGGTCCCAACTAGGCGGATCCGCGCATTTCCATCAGTGTGCTCAGCCGGCGAGCCCGGGGTTGCAGGACGGACATTCAAGCCTCCATATAGTTGTGACGAGCTTCCATTGCCGAGGCATGGATTATATGCTGACTGGCCGAGCGAGACACAGGATAAGGAAGCGTTCCCATCCCGACGGTAGCCGGTAGAATGAGACCTGCCGCGTCTACTGAGACTCGGGCTGGATGACATCCGCTGGAGACTTTGTAGCAGCTTGTGTCGCCCTTTGAGCTTTTGGGGTTGCCCTATGGGTATTTGGCCTGTCGATGAGGTCGGACTTGCCGGAGAGACCGTCCCAGGTGACGGCTCAATCTCGTCGGGAAATGCGGCGGCCATACTGGCAATTGTGGAATCAAAGTCGACGGTTGGTCGAAGGGCGCGATGTGCTGCAAGGGCTTTTCCTGTTGCGAACGGATGTAATCAAGGCGATTTGGGAGAAGGCCCTGAGGCACTGGTAGGGAAAGTCGTGAAACTGACGACAGGCGCGGGGATCCGCAATCGAGATTGGCCTAGAAACTCATAGTGAGGTGATGCAAACCATTCCACAACTATACACAGCCAGAATCTCCAAATAATGGCACAACCACGTTCTGAAGACGAGGCGACCAAAATCAAACACCGTCCTTTCTGGAGATGAATCACTGCTCAGAAACGATGAATATGAAAGGGAGTATGATGGTGTAAGAGTGCGAGGAGGAAAGTCAAGGTTGAATGTAGTGTCAAGCGACAGTCGTTGAGGTATTTTCTCGGCTATGGGACCGTTACAAACTGTACCATGGACCCCGTTAACCGCGTAACCCGGGGGCTGGCCAGAGAATCGACCGGCGAGAGATGTCTGGGACGAAGTAGCCAAGATAGTTTAGCAAACGTCACTTAGGCATCATCCACAAATGTTTCGTGAGAGATGGATGAAGAGAAAAAGAAAGATGGAAGTCTGTTATGGACGAGGGTGACCGAGAGAGCATGTCAAAAGGCAGAAGGGGGGAAGAGATACCTTACCCTTACAGAGAAGAGGAGGGGAGACTAAGACATCCAGTCAGATTTTGGGGAGATGTGGGTAAGCCCAGTAACGTTGTCAGATGGCCGTGGATAGGGAATAATTACTATTGTATGTTCATTGTTATCAACAGTATCATATCTAAGGGTGTGTCACCAGACAATCGCAACAGTGTCGGCTGAGCCACCATCTAGTCTCTATCTATCATCCTCATCCTTATCATTGCACCAAGTCAAGTTGATATGTATTCTTTGGAGCAACCATATTGGTGAACAATAATGGTAATATTAATACAGAAACATGTGGGAGAATCCAACGTCTCTCCGCCACCAAACCATTACTTGGTTGTATTATCAGACCCCACAGGTCTTATCATTTATCGATAGGTAGTCCCCACTTAGTGTCCGCCAGTGGGCTCTTCTTAACTGTCACACATCAATTTATTCTGTATGTATCAGTTTGTTTTACTCTCAAAAAAGATGGCCATGGATATGCACCTGGCCATGAACAAGGCCATAAAGCTCATTTATAAAGTTCAAGGGACCGCACTTAATGAAAGGGTTGTTATTTACAGAGTAGCATCTATCACTGATGAAAGTGCACAGGCCACCAACACAGGGTGACAGGAGACCACCAAAGGTCACAATGCAGAAGTTAATGTCCTGCCAGTGTCCTCTCAACATATAGATAATCATAGACTCAACCAATGAAGCGAAACCTCAACTTGAAAAACGACCACCAGCCGAAAGACAGATGATACAAGGCATTTCGACCGAGTGGCAAGTTGCAACGGGTACGGACTATCTACAGCCACACCCACACACATGGATCGAAAGTCAGAACCCAATAAAATCAACCGCAGTCTCTCCGTTCCTGACCATCACTGGAGGCGACTAGTACTGAGATGGCAATTTCGGTGACTCTCATCGGTAGTATGAGAATCTACCTACATCCCTCCACTGAAGTGCTCATTCAGACAAACTATTACCCAAGTACACTGGACAGTGGACACTGCTCTGGACTCTTTTTGCCTCTTCGCCTCGCTCTTTAAGACGGAGACGCTGTAAGGTATTTATTGGTCACGCCACGCCACTTACAAGGGGTTTATTGGTACCTACATGTGCATGTTCTTTACAATACATAGCTCACCTCACTACCTTAAGGTACCTATCTATTATTAATATCCCTCATACCCCATCGCAAGTATTGAGCACTAGCCTGGCCTTCTTACATACCCCGTAGTACGGAGTAGTTTAGTTCCTACAGAGACTGGAGTAGTAGTATTCCACAGGATGACACTCCGCACTGGTGGTGGCTGATACAGTTAACTAGATCCATACCGACCCTGTAATCGAGTCAAGTCATCCATCGGCCGAACAGAAAGGCCAAGACTGATTATGGGCTGGACAACCAACCATGTAGAGAGTCGATGCGCATTGACAGACATGGAAATTCTCTTTTCCTCTGTTAGAAAAGGTACTCCCTCTGTAAAGCGTGGGGGTGATTCCTGATTGGTATTTTTTCAAAAGACCCATAGACACAGAGAATGGTAATGAAGTTGTCAACCTGAACCCATTCGATAACCCCATGTCTCCTTATCAAAAGACTGTTGGTCTAAAAGCGGCCTAAGGGGACTAACACCCTTAGCCTGAACATAGTCTCACTTCCCCGCGATGCCCCGCAGCTAATCAAAAACAGTATCGCTAGCCTAGGCAGTAGTAGACTAGTAGTACGGAGTTAGTTAAGGAAGTGGAAAGATGAACATGCCCATCCCACTAGTATGGCTTTGATATGCTTGATGCTTCACATGGAACATTGCACCTTGAAATCTGATAGGCCTAAGCTCTTCCACAAAGAATTTTCACCCATTCATCTCTTTACATGTCTAAGCTTCAATTATATTATATTGCTGCTTCATTTAATGTGCCTCCGGGCTACGCCATGCTATCCGGAACTTGGAGACAAAAAGCGAATATTTGCAGCGAGGAAGAAAAGCCAGTAAATGGATTATGATGATGGGTATCTCAACTTTCGTACCTCTATGCATCATGATCTCTCATTCCGCCGAAAACCTTCTCTGTTGTTCCCACCCCTGTGCCCCGTGATGCTTCTCCTCTCCTTCAGCCTTGAGGAAATACCGATATCATACAGCTTCGTGACTCCATCTTCTATTGTCATCCTGCCTGTCATCAAGAGCCACTGCGATTCATTTCGTTCGGAAAAATCTTCGACGCCATGCAAATTGGGTTGGTGACTAACAAAGAGGGCGGAGGGGAAAAAAACAAAAAAAAAAAAAAAAAAAAACATAAGTCGGCTAGAGGGGGGGTTTGTGGATGTGTTGTGAATAAGAAAGAAAATCGTAATAAGAGCAGGTCGGCCATATTTCTTCCGGCGAAAAATGTCGGTATATAAAATTCTTAATTCGTAGGTGTGTTCGAGCTGTTATCCAAAAGAAAAGAAACTTCGCCCCGAGTCGCAAAGTGCAGGAAGCGTTGTTACTCAGTTATCAAGCATCCATGGATGCTCCATAACTTCCGTGATCGTCAAGCGGTTGTCAACATCCCGATCAAGCATCTTTCTGATCAGGTCGATGCATTCCTCCGAGAACGGCAAGAATGGTATCCGGAGCGGGTGGTCCAGGATCTCATCGATGTTGTAAAATGGGTTTTCTTTGTAGACGATGGTGTAAAGAAGGATACCAAGGGCCCAAATATCCTGCTCTTTGCCTCTGTAAGACTTGCCTTGCAGTACTTCCGGGGCAGCATAGTCTAGTAGTCCGATATGTCAGACTAGACGATATCCGTTTAGGAGCAGCATGGGGATGGACTTACCAATTGTCCCCACAAAGACATCAAAAGGCCCATTCTTGATATAGGCAGCGCTTCCAAAGTCGATGATTTTGATCCTGCCTTCGCCGTCCAAAATCACATTCTCGTCTTTGATATCGCGATGAACAACCAACGCTTTCGTATGAAGATGGTGGATGGCATCCACTACCTGTCGAAAGATGTTCCTGCACTCAACCTCATCCATATTCACCTTGAGTTCGATGTAGTCGAAAAGATCCATTCCCGGAAGACCGTGGGGCATCATTTCGATATAGTAGTTGACATCATCTTCGAAGAACCCCTCCATCTCAACAATGTTCGGGTGCTTTAGGCCGTCACGCCGAAGGTAGTCGAGAACGTGAATCTCCAGAGGTACTGTTCCCAGCCGACGGTCGCGAGTCCAGGTGTCCACCAGAATCCGCTTCTTTGTGACGTACTTCAGAACGACCTTCTTGGATGGGTTCTTCTTTAAGCGAGCGAGCTTGACTTCACCGTACGCGCCTTGTCCCATCTCCTCGAGAATCACATAGTCCGCAATTGTTCGTTTCTTCTGAATTTCCTTAGCATTGGTATGCTTCACTTCAGGTACAGGTTGGATAGGTAGATCTGTCAATGGTTCCGATGCTGCTTCACTGAGTTGCTGACTTAACGTAGAAGATGGTATCTGAGGCTCTAGCGAGGGTTTTTCGGCGCCGAGAGAGTGCGCAATAGACGGGCTTGCCGTCTCGGACCGTTGTCGTGGGGGAGGAAAGTTCGCCGACGGCCCTATGGAATGGATCTTTCTCGAATAGGTGACCCATAAAGCATACACAAGTTCCTTTACGGCGATTGCATCTTCCTGGTAATCACCTGATTCGTCATGTCTTTCTATGCCCTCACCGTGGTTTTGACGGAAAAAAGTCTCACTTTCCACAACGCGCAATTGAACATCCACAGCAATTGTTGATCCATCACGATGGGCGGCAGTGATGCCCATCGGTTCCAAGAACACGGAAGCCACATTCGCCTTACCGTCGCGGAGGATAGAAAGTGTCCGTGCTCTTCGGAAGCTGGGTTCAGAGATCACCACTCCCTCCACCAAGGGCAAATTTTCCTCTTCGCTGAGCACATTGAGAAGGGTGTCAAACCCAGGTATCAGGTCGTTGACATGCATACCATCAGGCCGCTCATGGCCGAAGAGGGCAGATGAAAACACTGGATTAGAACTAATCACCTTTAACGTGGACGAAGATAGGACCATCATGCCTGCAACATGAGGAAAACTGGATACTCTGAGACAGCGTGGATCTTCTTCCTTTCCAACAATAGCCGGGATACAGATCTCAGCAGAAGCCCGGGCAGCAAAGTATTTTGTTTCGGCAAGTTTTGGTATACCTTTGCTGGGCGGAGCCTTAAGGCAATCCTTGGGCAAGTGAGGGAGGAGGTCTGTGATATGTGATCCAAGCTTCACCACGCCCTGGCCCCAGATCTTGTCGGTTTCCCCACGGGTACCAGTGATGGTCCAGGAGTCGTCGCAGGAGATGTAAGCGGCATTTTCCTGTATTTCTTCGAGAACCCAGATAAGGCCCCCGCGTTTCTCCATAACCCAGACACTGGCGGAACCTTTCGTTCCATTACGCTTCTGAATAGGTATAACATCTCCACATAGCAGGACGCCTCGCGATTTTGTAGCGGGATGATTCAGATGCCTCGAGTTGCGTTGGCTGGAGCCGTACCCGTCGTCGGTCTGGGCTCGCCCCGATTTGACCATTCGAGAAGGCGGCTTACTGAGGAGTTGTGCGGTGACACCATTGCCCATCCCCATAGACTTCGGGTGGACCGGTCTGATTTGTGATCTCTCGGGCAAAGACTGGAGCTTCGCTGCGGCGCTAGTTGTGGGGTCTCGCAATTTGGATTCGAGCCACTGTCGATGGTCCCTTTGTACGACCTCTAGGATACTCAGCCTGCGGAGCTCCGCTTGGGTGACACCAAATACGAGACACGACAGGTCATTGGCAGCCAATATCGTCCATGGCGCTTGCGACTCGGTCCTGAAGACGGCTTGTGAGATGGGATTCCATTTGCTGCTATGAGTATGTAAGGCGGGAACGGGGAAGCCAAAGCCCAAGATCGAAGAGCCGGCGGATGTAACAGAGTCCACGGTAGAGTACGGTTGTGCTAGATTCTCCATCAGCTTGTTCCGGGAGCAGACAGAGCTGACATCCGTGTATGTACGTTTTAAGCTTACGCGCCTGGAGGAAGGTGCGGACTTCATCTCCCTTCTTTGGTGAGGTATGTTTCCAGTGGATAAAAGATTCCCTCCGCTCGCGTCATTTCCTTGCCGTGTCGCCTTGATCTCAGTCGCGGCGCCTCCAGGTCCAGTGAAAGCTTGATCAAAAATATTGCTGCTGTCCACATCTGCGGGGCTCGTCAACGGGCCACGGGACAAACCAGCATAATTGTGCCTGTCCTCCTTTCCCGCAATACTTGATCTCGACATGCGGTCTATCATACTTTGTGCCTCCGCATCGCCAGCCATGCGAGCCTGCGCGTTGGCAATGGCGGGATTGCTGGCGGACCAGCCGAAACGGTCACGCATAAAATCTATGGATCGTTTCAGAATGTTATGACGACTGTTGAGTAATTCGTCGGATTGCTGAGCAAAAGAAAATGAATGTAACGACTCCAGGGGGAAACGATGGAGGTCTTCCAACGTGCTGATGCTGTCATTTGAGGGTATGCGCATGAGAGGGGGTTTTGAGGCCGCGCTGGATCGACGAGAAGGAGTGTTGCTTTGGGGCGATAAGGGAACGAGCGACGAGGTAGATCTGTTCGGGAGATTCAGAGTTCGAGAGGGTGGTTGGCGTATACGGTCCAACCCCGATGGGCCTAGTCCATGCTCGTGCTCGAGTAGAGAAGATCTGCAGTATATAAAGATTCGATCTTAGTATCGCTGTTTCTGCACCGTCACATGCAACATTCCTCGAAATGCAAGGGGATCCGTCAAGTCAACTGCAGCTTTTCTCATTTCTTACCTCGAGATATCATATCCAGAGGAAAGGCTATCGACCGAAAGCTTCATCGATTCATCACGCTGTAAGGGAAATCCTCCCATGAAAGATTCGGATTCGGGAGATTCTGAAAGTGGTCCCAAGGGGGACGACAAAGGACTCGGGTCACCTATAGATTTAGAGACATTGTTAACCGTTGATTCGCGACGTATCAGACGATAAGCGCGCTCGTTCCCCGTTTCCGTCTCCTACGCACTTTTCCTTTCTCTGCTGCCTCGCTTTCTACTCTTATCCTTTCAGCGCCAAGAGTGCCGGTTGTGGAAGCTCTAGTCGTTATTCGCAGCAGGCTTGATCACTCGACCGACGGATAGCTCCATGTGGACAAGCAACAGATACTATTGAAGCACAACTGACACATGAAAGGGTGGGGCAGCGAGGGGAGAAAGTGCGAAAGACTCATGGACAACAAGGCAAAGGGAAGAGCGCATTACTAACCATCGGAGTTGTATGATGTATTGCCCATCATGGCCGAAGAAACAACGATGTAACGACCCGCGATAACGATCGGATCGGGTGGAGAAGAGCTCAAATCGCAAAAAGCCCGAGCACTGAAGGGGGTGGGAGAAAAAGAGAAAAGAAAACCCGATATAATAATGCTACATGAGGTGGATATTCGGCATTTGCGGCCTGCAAGCAGGAAGTTGGGTCGCGAACTCCGTTTCTGAGGGGAGTTTCCCTTTTTTTTTTCTGGTCGGCGGGCGCGCAGGGACCAACAAGTGCAATCGATAAATTGACCCCCCTTTTTCCAATTATTCGAGTTTGCAGGACGAGTGCACAGAATAGTAATTGTCTCCTCTAAAAGAAGGTCGTCTGCCGTCTGAATGAAGAATAAGCGATCAGCGGACTGAGCGAAAAGAGTAAATTCTAGAGTGCAGCTGCCTTGTAGGTCACAGGCTGTAGCACGCGGAGCTCAACGGTATGGTAGACAAATCTAACGTGCCGCTGAGGACTTAAGAATACCTACGCTTTTGTTATCGTCATTGACTAATGACAGAAGGTAGATGAATCCAAGTTTAGGTAGACAAAAAGCTAGAATTTGAGACAGAAAGAAGAAAAGACGAAAGCCTTTCCAAGAGCCTGAAGAGAGCGGGCAGAAAGGCGGAGGGAGAGATGTGATGAGATGGAAATAACAGGACAACACAAGTAGGAGTTGCACCTAAATAGTCTAGGTAGTTGATGGATATGAACCACAGCCTTTTGTTGTTTTTGTCGTTGTGGAGACTACAGATGTGCTTAGAACTTACCTAGGGTCTTAGGCTCATATGTAGGATCATCCATCTCAGGCTGGAGGAGGCAATGACGTCCTTTGATTGTTGGGCTTCTCTTTGATTGTATGGACTGATTGAGACATATGGAGCACAGTGTTTTCTTTAGCCTGTTCTTAGTCTTGCACGTGGGGTACAACTGGTATGCCAGGATCATGGGAGGATAGCAACATAGAGTATGGATATGAGGTTGTAGCTATAGATGAGGGGAGAAGCGAGACTTGAAAGGGTAGACAGTAAGGACTAACCAAGATGATGTAGAAAGATTAATCAACCAGGCATACTTGGAACCTGGGTACGATTGGATGTCTACGAAGTCAATTCTCTCTTTCTACGGAGTAGATATCTGAAGAACAATCAATCAATGGTGATGTAATTGTGGCAGCTCCCCGATATGGAGTCCTTAATGTATACCAGTCCAGGCCACAGAATGGCCTCCAATAATATAACATCAGGTAGTGTTCAGCATAATTTGAAGGTGGAATCTGGTTCCATTTCTTCACCCCTCCATAGGCCTTTCGACCACAATGGTTGACCCCTCATGTTTGGGATCTTGTGATCAGCCTATTCCGTACACTTCTCTCTTTCTGTTATTATTAACAGTGGATCAGTGGAAATTTCAGGGCCACTCCAGAGAGATCCTTGTAGGTTGGGCCTGCAGACTAAGGTAGCTGTGAACTATCCTTGTGATTGGCACACATGGTCCCATGGAAGCCCAATCGGGGCAATCTGGAGATCTACGGTCCGAGCAGCCTTCGTCCACACTAACTACGGAGTAGATACACAATAGACTTATTCTCGGAACGGACCTTTGCCCTCATTTGAATGATTCTTGTAATATGACATTGTGTAAATGTAGGCTGTGCTAGGTTCTACTATGCTTCAACCGACCGTTCAATTATGCTGTTATGCATCGGTTGCACGGAAATGAAGGACGGAACGTCCCCGATGACAACTTTCAGCCTGCAAGCCATCCTCCTAATACGTGCTGTCGCTTCCTTGACCTTGAACCTTGGGGCCCCCAAGACTTCGCAACGCGAGACTATCGAGCTCGTCCTGAGAGCTTTGCTGTTCATTGGCTCCATTGCCAAACAGTGTATGGGGTTTGTTCCTTGTGTCACCGTATCGAGTCTCCTCCGGCGGTACCGAAGCCGGGCTGACAAAACTGGAAAGATGCCGGCTACCGCCAAGCATCCAAGAGAACTCGGAATCTGCCAGAGATAGGCGAACTGCCTGCCTTAATGGCAGTGACGAAGGCCCTTTGCTACTCGACGGCGACTTGTGAAGCATAGCCTCCACTGCGACAGATGAGACAGATGGGCTTCCAGGATCGCTTGGGACTTGCTGCCCTTCTTTTGCCCCTCCTTCTTCGACCTTCTTGTCCGCGGATATTGGAATGTCAGAAGGGACATTCAGAGAGGTATCATTAGCCGCACTCTTACATCCGGCAACAGTGATCAAAGCCTTGGAAGGGTCTTCCAGGCATGTTTGAACAGACTGAATCTGCGTAAGAGCTTGTCTCAGGGCGTCAGCAGTCGTGGCCTTGATATCCTCTGCTTTCATCAGTTGAGCGCGTATGTCGTTCAGAGCTTGACTGAGTGTCTTGGCCAGTGATTTATTTCGTTCCTCCAAGATCTGTATCTGAGCTTTGAGATTGGTCACACTTTCTGGCTCCTCGGATCTCGAGAGGTTCCTTGTATGCACCGCGGATGGAGTGCTATCATACAGGGTAGTACGCGGAAGCCTCTCGGGCTGCATCGCCTGCATGTTCCTCCTAGCTTCGTTGACTGCACCTCGCACTGCTTTGGCTACACCCCACGATTCAGTCCGTCGCTGAAGACCTTCGGAGAAATCCTGGAGTAGACCTTCGAAGCTCTTGGGACTACCTCTCACGGGTGATCTCGAAGGAGAGCTTGTTTGGCTGTCTTCTCTAGAGTCGTTACGCAACTGGAATCGTCTCAATGAAAGGAACCTTTCCCCTGATCTATCGAGCGTCTTCGTAGGATCGGGTGGCTTTCCCGAGTATTTCGAGATGAGAAATCTGCCTCTTTCTGGTGTGGGATTTTGCTCCAGATAGAGGCCATCGTGCACAAAGGCCTGTGGTGAGTGCGGTTGCGGGGAGGGATAGCGAAGTAATGTCGTCAAAGCGCTCGAATATCCGGCGCTCAATACTAAGGCGTATCAGCATATCAAGGGACAAAGATATAAATGAAGATCGTCTCAGACGTACATTGCCACCGAATGCGTAGGAGCATTGCAACACATGTGAACTCTATAAGTTCTGACCGCAGCCCCTCTGCAAAGAGAAGATCCCACAAGGATAGTACATCTTGAAAGGGAAATTCACGACCAAATAACAGGCGCATCCACCGACTACCAGAAAATTAGCAAGCCTTCTCAGTTGAACAAGTAGACGTGCTCATCCTGGTCCACTCACGTGAGGAAGATCTGAGGCAGAATTTCCAGCGCTTGTAGGTGATCGGCTAACTCGAGGTCTGTTGTCGTCAGGAGGTTTTGATGAATGTGCTGACATTGGTTGACAATAGGTATCTCATCCATCTGACCGTTGGCAGAGCGTTCCTTGTTATGCTCATAATACACTCGAGTAGTTTGCATAACCGAGCAAAACAACGCGAAAGAGTCGTGCTCAACATAGTCAGCATTAAGCAGCTGCAGCATCAAATCATCGACCTCTTCTTTAGCTGAGGGATCTTCAAGCACCTTCCCATCAACCGCATCCCCGTGAACAACCCACAGAATAGGAGCCAATAGCTCATGCATGCCTTGTCGATAACCAAGATCCGGGTTTAACTTTGCATAAATAAACAGAATATCAATCATTTTCGCCTTGGTGGCGGGTTCACGGAAGAAGAAATTCTCTTGTAAGCATCGGTCAACATCCTGGGATATATCCGCTCTCATCTGCTCATCATGTCGTAGAGTTTGCCAAGGAGACTTTTGGGAGCAAGCACAGGTCAGATGTGCGAGTAATGACAAGCCACGATAGCCGACTAGAAGTAGCATACCTCTTCATCATCCGCTAGTGGGTCAATTGTTGACGGTAAATCATCTGGATGCTCAATGTATTTAAGATAGTGCGCTTTCAGCGCGGTATATGCGTCCCGCGACTCGGATGTCCTTCGTGACCATTGTGAGCGATCGAGTTCGTCGAACAGCAGGAACGCCTGCAGGCAGGTAAGCAAAATTGACCGTCTTGCCAAGTGCCGCGGCTGCATGCCTTCCAGCAGACAGATCTCAATCCGTCATTGCATAACTTGTCTCCTTGTTCTGATTTGATCGCATCTCGGAGGGCAGAGGGCGTAGCATTGTTGCGAAACAGGGTATTCCATCTCTGTCTGGAGGAACCATTAGCAAGTCTTCTCCTCTGGCGTTACAGGCAATTGTACCTT